AAATAATAATTTAAAGAAATCTGTTAGCTTTCTAGTAGCATTTTAAGGTCCAAAGCCTATAGCATTCATTATACTTTAGCCCATTAACCCTCTACTGCACATCAATTTGTTTTTATACACCCCTCTGTTAGGGTCTGTTGATCTCAGATGTGGACTACTGTAAATGCCTCAAGTTTTGTATATACACCGTTCATTCTTTCATCGTTTCAAGTTTTATAAATTCTTTTCCCAAAATAACAGATACCCTAAGTGGTGCAAGTGCTTTGTGGATTAACTAAAAGGATGCTCACATCTTCAGTAATGCCTGCTTTTCATTATGCAGCATCATCACGTATTCCTCAACAACGCTACATTGAAGTTCGTGGAGCGGCCACTCCAACTTCCCTGCAGTCCACCCAGAAATAAACTCAGATAAAACTGAAGTTATTGCTCTGGGGCCTAAGCACCTCCGTGACGCATTATCTAAAGATATAGTTTCCCTGGATGGCATCGCCCTGGCCTCCAGCACCACTGTGAGGAATCTTGGAGTTATCTTTGATCAGGACATGTCGTTTAAGTCTCACATTAAGCAAATTTCAAGGACCGCCTTTTTTCACCTACGTAATATTGCGAAAATCAGGAACATCCTGTCTAAAAATGATGCAGAAAAACTAGTCCATGCATTTGTTACTTCTAGGCTGGATTACTGCAATTCCTTATTATCAGGCTGCTCGAAAAAGTCCATTAAGACTCTTCAGCTGATCCAGAATGCTGCAGCACGTGTTCTGACAGGAACCAGGAAAAGAGATCACATTTCTCCTGTTTTAGCTTCTTTGCATTGGCTTCCAGTAAAATCCAGAATAGAATTTAAAATCATTCTTCTTACCTACAAAGCTCTTAATGGTCAGGCACCATCTTATCTTAAAGAGCTGATAGTACCTTACTACCCCACCAGAGCACTGCACTCCCAGAATGCAATATTACTTGTGGTTCCTAGAGTCTCCAAAAGTAGACTAGGAGCCAGAGCGTTCAGCTATCAAGCTCCTCTCCTGTGGAACCAGGTTCCAGTTTGGGTTCAGGAGGCAGACACCATCTCCACATTTAAGAGTAGGCTTAAGACTTTCCTCTTTGATAAAGCTTATACCTGATGGTTCAGGTAGTCCTGAACCATCCCTTAGTTATGCTGCTATAGGCCTAGACTGCCGGGGGATTTCCCATGATGCACTGAGCTCCTCTCTCCTCTACTGCATGTTACTAACACAACTTCTCCCCTTTCTGGTAGTCTTGTGCTCTCTCGTCCCTCTCCTCTCTCCTATCACTTTCTGCAGGTTTTCTGGCTCTGGAGCTGTGGAGTCTGGATCTGTGGCTGCGGGTCGCCTGCTGCCCCCGTGTTCCTGCTCGACACCCTCTGCTGCAACGACTATTGTTGCTAGTCTTATTGTTATTATTGTTATTATAATCATTAACATTACGATGGTTACCATTAACACTATTATAAATATCTGTACCATTTTTCATTTAGTTTATAGCAACATTACCTTCACTGTCTGTACCTCTGTGTGTATATTGTGTAGGCTGCCTCCCTCCCCTCTCTCTCTCCTTACATCCTCTCTCTCTCTCTCTCTCTCTCTCTCTCTCTCTCTCTCTCTCTCACCCCAACCGGTCGAGGCAGATGGCCGCCCACCCTGAGCCATGGTTCTGCTCGAGGTTTCTGCCTCTTAAAAGGAAGTTTTTCCTTGCCTCTGTCGCCTAGTGCTTGCTCTTGGTGGGAACTGTTGGGCTTCTGTAAATATCATCACAGAGTACGGTCTAGACCTGCTCTTTTATGAAAAGCGCTGTGAGATAACTGTTTTTGTGATTTGGCGCTATATAAATAAAATTGAATTGAATTGAATTGAAATAATATGCGTCTATTTTATTCAGCTGCATCTGCCTCTACGGCCCACCTCATCGTTGTCAGTGCTTTTGACATCCAGCTACAGACCCATCAAGTATCACTTGTCAACAGACACTTAGGGGCATTCTGTCAAAGTCGAGGGTGGTGTTGACTCGACTGCAGTGTGCCTACATCACATACTCTGATTGGTATCAAATGCCTTGATGGTTCAGCACGAGAGGACGAAAATTACTGATGCAATTACTGGATGACCGAAATATTTCATATGCCAGTTTGATAATCAACTAGCTGGCACATTAAAAAAACAGAAAGATACACATACTGCAAGTAGGTTCAGTATCTTTCCCAAGGACATGCAGACTGGAGATTGAACTTCCGATTAGTGGACGACCAGCTATACCTGCTGAGCCACAGCCGCCTCAATGTACAAACACAACACACCATCTCTCTCTGAAATACAAAACCAAAAACACATTAAAAAGATGTTTCTGGCAGTTGGGGAACTGAAGGAGGGAAAGCCCTCAAAACAATGCCCTTCTCTTTCACACTTGGCATTTCTGTAACACCTACATCTATCTCCATTACATTTCAAATGCATTGCTGACAAACAGCGGTTAGAACCAGGGGCGATGTTGACTCCAAAACAATGTCCCTCTCTCCCACTGATTTCACCCTGCGAGCGCAGCAACAGTTGGTTAACCAACCGCAACGGCGGCCTCTGCGCCAAATTGAAAGACCTCGCTCTGAGGGCATGAGCTCAGCAGAACTGGAAGAGAGATGCAGAAAAAAAGGGGGAATAGGAGGACGTGGTGGAGGATGACTGGGGGACCGGACTCCATTTGTGACCCAAAAAATGAGGACAGGGAGAGGGTGCGTTCGCTCCCTTACTTGTCCTCCCGTCCCACGCCATGGCCTGTCATCCGAAGTTGTTTCCTAGAAAAAGACAGCTCGCCTCAAAGCTGCCCAGCAACCACGCAGGCAGACGGAGACAGAGATAGATAGAGAGGGGTGGAGGGGCAGTGGGGGGGATGTCACTGGAGATGACACAAACCCTGGTGACTTCTAGCACACACATATATACAAACACATGTACTGTAAACTGAAATGAATTTGGAGGCAGAAAGGAACAACAATATCCCCCTTAAACCATGAAATGTCCATCACTACAACCTCTTTGCACCCAATTGTCCCCCATAAAATGAAGAGCAAAACTGTTTTAAGAGCGAAAATTGTTATTGTGGAGAATAAAGTCAAAACAGAATAGGTTGTTTCGAGTTATACGTGTGTGTTTGAGTATTCCCTTGCAGTCTACAGTTAGATTTGTCAAAAGGGTTGGCATGCATCTTTCCTCAGACTTTATTCTCAAAATGTCAGGGAACAGAGATATGTGGGAGAGATTTTGAATGTGCAGAAAGTTTTGAACATGAGCAGAAAACCTGCTGAAACACAGGAGCTATTAAAGTCCAGGGATTTATAAATGAATTAAAATAATTTATTTATCATTGAGGTGAAAAGGTGCCACATGCACATTTGGAGAGGTTACATCTCCAAAAAAAACTAGAACATGCCAACATGTATGTACAGCAGAATACATCTGAAAGAAATGCAGAATGCCTGAGAGCCTTACTAAATTATGTTTCATTATATTAGTATATTCTGAATTGTCACCTGCCGCCTGAGTTTTGTGTTTCCCTTTACATAAAGATATTTCCAGGAGAAACTGATGCAGAAGAGGCAGACCTTTGTAAAGAAGAAAATCACCACAATGCAGGAAATGAAGTATTTTAACACTCAACATTTTCTGGGGGTGGACACGAGACCCCCATTCTTAATATGTGTCGCCTCCAGTGTTGAAAGGAAACTTACGCCCTTGGAGGGAGCTATATCAAGTTCTTGATGTTGGCTTTAAGCAAAACACTGATTAAAATATTTGTCAGTGGCAGTTAAATCCAGGTGAACATTTTCACTTTCATTTACAGTTAGAAGACAAAATGTTATATTTTTAAATCAGGAAGTCATTTTGTGGCAGTCTTTAGGTGTTTTTCAGAGTAAAGTTTATTGACCCTCTTGGATAGACAGTTCTGTCTCAAACGGAGAAAGACAAAAAAAAGAAGAGTGTGATCAGAGACAAAAAATGGGGAGACACGGGGGAGTCGGAGAGAGATGACAGAACAAAACAGAAAAGGGCAGGAACATGAAGAGGGAGGAATAAAGAGAGCGGGAGGGAAGAGGAAAAGAAAGGGTGGGAGAAAAAGGTTAGGGACAGGGAGTCGGAGTTTCATCCCTCCATCACCACTTGCTCACATCAAAACTGTCCGTGCCCCAAAGCTACTCCCGACCAAGGCGGCAGCAAACTTGTGACAACTCTGCCGACGCTGACAGGCAGGGTAATGTGTCCTGCGGTCTCGCTCGCTTTTGGTGTCACTCGCACGGAGAAACCACCAACAATCTTTTGGCTATGAGTCGCTAACAGCCACATGCCATACCAGTCTCAGCCTCTAAACATGTCACAATCACCATTATTTCAAATTTGTTTTGTTCCAGGGAGTGCAAAAAAATATCACTGGATATAATGTGTTTTATATCTTTATATCTGCTTTTACACACACACACACACACACACACACACAGCAGCAGCACACTCAGGGTGAACTCTGCTGTCCTGCTGGCTGAATAATCAGCTATGTCTAGACGAGGTACGTCACAAAGACTATAGGTCACCAAAACACAGAAACAGCCCCTGGCTTATCACAACATCAGCTCTTTCACTCTATTGTTTGAATATATTAGTGACAAATATCCTGAGTAATTAGAATCTCTGAAAACAAAGGGGAGATGATTCGCAGGGAGACATTGATTAGGGATTAGGCATGCTCAGGAGGGATGAAGAAACTGAAAGATAAAGAAAAGATGGCACTTTGCTTCCAGTTTCTTCCAACAAAATAAGACAATACTTTGATTTCCCCTTTCTGGCTATTAATGCAAATATTTCTCATATTTACACCCCAATTTATTCTTATTCTCTGCTGCTTTGGTTGTGATTTTACAAGCAATAAAGCAACAGCCTTGAAAGAATCCAATGCATATATGCTTGCATCTCAAAGAAACAAATATAACGTCTTACCTGGTGAGGTAGGGCAGTAATTCCAGCCTTTTGTCTGCAAAGAGAGCACAAGGGGGGTGGGGTGGGGGGGCAAGGCAGCGGCTTCTGCAGAGAGAGGAGAAAAAAGAGAGACGGGGAAAAAAAGATGAGAGACAGCAAAAAAAAAAAAAAAAAGGGCGAACAGAGTCGCAGGAGCAGCGCCACGCTGACAGAGATGGCTGATGCTTTTTTGCCGGCGAGCAGAGCTGGCAAACACACTGCTGAAGCTCACACACTCCCTCAGACAAACACACACACACACACACACCGGCATGCCGTCTCAAATAGATCTCTGCCCTCCCCTTTGCAAGCACACACTCTGCAACCAAACCAGCGCCTCCATTGTATCGGGGAGGGGTGGATATGGGGTGGGCGGGTTTTGCCATGTCTGAGCACAAGAAACGTGTGTGTATGTTTGTGTGCATGTGTCAGGTACATTAAGTCATGTTTGAAAGGGATATGAAGCTCACTGACTCCGGAGAGAATTGAAATGCAAGATAAATCTCTATCCAAGAAATTTCCAGAGGCACATTTCATTCTCCTCTCTGTGTTTATCTCATTCGTAAAATTCTACTCTTTTGCTGAAAGACGTTCACATTTTATTATTTTATGAATGCATAAAACATTTGAACATGACAGCAAGTGTTGTGTGAGTGCAAGAGTGTGTGTGTGTGAGTGTGTGTGTGTGTGTGTGTGTGTGTGTGTGTGTGTGTATGTATAAAGGGGTGTGGGGCTTGCCCCCATGCTGAATAATTGCTCTGTCCTGGTGCTCATTTGCAGGCATGGCCAACTGCAGCAGCAGTACTGAAACAAAGGCAGAGAGGGGGAACGATGGGGAAAAGAGGGTCAGAGTGAGAGACCATGAGAGAGAGGAAGAGAGACTGCAGAGGCCAGACAAGCAGAGCAAAAGAATACAACTCAGTAGCACTGAGCACTGACTGCTGAAAGCCTAATTCCCTGCACATTACTCCAACCTCAAACCACATGAAATGAAATATATTTATAGTCCAGAGGCGCACAATGGTCCCAGTCTTTAGCTATCCATCACCAGCAGTACTAGAGATGTCAAAGTTGTGAATAAATACAGAAATTATGGGCCGAGTACATGAATCAAAACAATGAATGAGCACAAATTTGGACAGCTGGATAAATTAACACAGAAAGTAAAAACAAACACGAATTAATAGGACAGGTTTGGATTTTTTTTCAAGCCTATCTTCCCTCACATGACATATGTATGTTGAAAGCAGTATTGGTCACTGTAGTCATTCCTCCTCTCCATACTGGCCATAAAGTGGGACACCAGTGTGTACCTTCCAAACTTATGGCCTGTTAGTACAAATCCCCTATTTGAGTTTTCATAGACAGTGTTTCCTTGCTGAGCCGCAGAGGAGGGATACTTCCAGGTAGTCATTTGTTAGTGGACCAAGAATAAACCTGCACCTGAACTCGATATGACTAGAATCATATCAGCTTTGGCTAAACTGTGGAGGACTGTGGAGTATGTCCCACATCTTTAATAGTCGATATAGTAACTAATAACAGTGCCAGAATCACCAATATCTATACCCACATAGGGGAAAGTGATGTGTTATGATTATAAGGGAAAAGGTATCAATATTAGGCTGATTTTGAATATATTTTTAATCCAAGCAAAATATTTGCCATACATTAAAGTGGCAATTCCACATCAACATTGTGATATTAACAATGGATCACATTTACTAGTATGTGCTAGCATTTTTCGGCTCATTGTTATAGTTCATAGTACATCCAACATTCAACTTCACAGTTATGGTTACTACTCTCATAGCCTTGTTTTTTGGTAGTAGTAACTGTTAAAACCCACTGTACACTACCTGCACAGCACTAAACAGCAACAACAGACAGAAATAGTTAGCATACAAAGTGGATCATTTGGAAGCTAAATATCTAGACAATTTTCTCAGAAGTTGTTGGAAACCAAAATACAGCATGTTTTTGAATGTGTAAATAGCAACTGTATGCTAACGCATTCACCATAACAATTTCATAAGGTGATAATATGTCAGTTTTGTGTTTATAGCTTGTTTCCACTGCCCCCAGTAGACCATCACAAAACTGTTAATGCATGTTTAAGCATTTCTTCTGTTCTGTTTCCATCTATCCATCCATCGTCAACCGCTTATCTCTGTACAGGGTCGCAGGGGGGTTGGAGCCTATCCCAGCTTACATCGGGCGAAAGGCGGGGTACACCCTGGACAGGTCACCAGTCCATCACAGGGCCACACATAGACAAACAACCACTCACACTCACATTCACACCTAAGGACAATTTAGAGACACCAATTAACCTAGCCTGCATGTCTTTGGATGGTGGGAGGAAGCCGGAGCACCAGGAGAGAACCCACGCGGACACAGGGAGAACATGCAAACTTCACACAGAAAGGCCGAGGCAACCAGGGTTTGACAGTGCTACCAACATCTATACCCACATAGGGGAAAGTGAACCGGAGCGACAGTGCTAACCACTGCACCACCGTGCCGCCCTCTGTTCTGTTTCTCATATGCAAATTAAAACACAGAACAGTTTTTTTTGGTAAAACATTAAAATGTTTGCTGTGTGAACCCTCTGAACTAACATGCACAAAACATTGGAAAAGAAGCAAAAGTTGCCATGTACTATGTGACATGTATGTATATATAAATATAGGTATTGATCCTAGTGACGCTAGTGTGGAGGAGTGATTTCAGTGACTAATAACTCATTCAACATACATTTGGCATGTTGGTATTGTATTAACAAAGAGTGAACCTATCATTTAAGAAGGAAATAAATTAACCCGCTAAAGCAAACCAGTTTGACCAAACTGATGTCAGGAGACACTCCCTAACATGGTTGCCAAACCTCACAGAGACCACTGAGGTTGATGTGAGGCTGAATCATAATGGATACAGTCATACGGTTCCCAAAACCACTTAAGAAATTAGAGGAAGGGAAGGAATAGAGCAAGCCAGCAAAGGTCCTTCCATCCCACATCACATCCTCTCCTAGTCCCATCATTAGCTTGTCCTGTTTCAGGGGGGTAGAAAGAGCCATCAGTGTAAGACTGTAATCAACCTGTCAGCGTGGGGGGGGGCTGGATCAGATTTAAAGAAAGCAAATGAGACATTTAAAATTGCGGTGGAGAAATAATCCTGCTGTCAAATAGAATTATGAGATCATTTTCAATTTTCACATTTGTTGAGAGGATTCAGTGTGCATGATGAACTAAGCAGCATTAGGCTTTTGGGTAAAAGGAAAGAGAGAGGGGAGACAAGAGATAATGAGGAAGGAGAAGTTTGGGTGACATGGGAGGGAGAGACCTGCAGAGTTTGGAATCAAAGGTCAGAGAGGTGCAGACAGTCCTGTCAACGCCGGCCGCCTTTAGGGAGGCCTTTTGCCAGCACTGATTAGAGAGCGAGGCCTGGACCGGAGGTGCAGAGCCAGCTAGCATAGACACTAACATCTAATCTCCCCTCAGCCTCCGCTGCCAGAAAGCAGATGCTAGTCGCGCTAACACCAATGTTTCACTATCAAATAATCAACAGATACAGCGGCAGGCTGAACTCGCCGTCACCAGATCACACATTTTGTTTACCCTGTGTTTGAAGAGGACATATGGACAGACATGTCAGACACACCCTTGCCAAATAGGTGCGCAAAGGCTCCCTTACTTTAATCAATTAGGTGCATACAACAGGATGTGTTCTCTTGGGTAACAATAAAACCTTACATCTAATCCAAAATGAAAAGGTAGGTCAATCTCATTGCTGTATTGGAAGTCAGGGTGATTGCTGTAGCCGGTTGTTGCCTACTCCCCCAGCAGTGAGACTGGGGCACAGCCAACTCACTGTGATCAGGATTAGCCGAATGGATCATCGCAGGCATGGTTGTAATCGGCCTGGACCCCTTCATCCAGATTTGAATGGGAGATTTCACAGCTGGTCAGAAAATGAAATTAAGTCTGGGGCACTCCCGTTTGATGTATTGATATGAGGGACGACTTGTCAAATCAAGAATAAAGTTTATCTCAATGATGAAGTTTCTCCATACCAGGTTTGTAACCCCGAAACCAAATGGTATGAGGCCGGTAAGAAGCCTGTATAATGTGGTTTTTAATGTTACTGTATCATCTTTCTGACAAATGAAGCAACATGTGCTTCTTCAGGAAAAACAAAAAACAGGTGCTGACTTCTACTGGAATTCATTTAGTCTATGAATTCCAGACTTGCCTGTGTATCATAATGCAAAAAGCTGCCCCTTCACCTGATCCTTCTGTAGCATGACTCAAGCTTTTTTTTTTTTAAAGGCAGCATTAGCACAAGCTTGGTTTCACTGAGTGAGAACATTTATTGCAGGTGCTTGAGAACACAACAGAGTTCGGTGGTTCTGCATCACCAAACACAAGTGTCAATAAAGCATCCGTTTTAGGACGCCACAGTATAACAACTGCTGTGGTTCACGAGAGAGCAGTTGATATGAATGCAGATATTGATTAAAGATTAGGGTTAGTGCTTTGGGACAAAAAGGCAAGAAGGATGAGGAAAGTTGAGATATACATCCAAATGCTAAGCAAAGCATCAAAGCAAATCTTTATATAATTCAGGATGGTCACTATAAAATTTAGTCAGAATATGAGTTTTTGTTTTGAGAGACTAAGATAACTAAATTTTTTTATTGCATTACTGAAGATATTAGTTGGAATGGATGGAAATAGCAAACTCAAAAGTCGATAAATTGCATGGCATAAAATTAATTTACAATGATTTTGTCATATCAAGTCCACAGCCATGCTGACAGCTCTGAGATACTTTAGAAAGGCACAACATGCTACACACAATGCTAACATGCTGATGTTAAGCAGGCATAATGTACCATGTTCACCATTTTAGTTGAGCATGTTAGCATGCTAATATTTGCAAAGTTCTGCTGAGGCTGGATGGGAATGTCGTTAGTTTTGCTTAGTTTTAGGTTTTTGGTCAAAAACTCTGACAGAATAAAATTGCTAAATTAAAAGTTAAGGAGTCACCAAAGTTATTACAAATTATTACATCCTGAGGGGGAAATTAATGTTTGAATAGTTATTGAAACATTTTACTCAAAACATTTTCTGGTTACAACTTCATAAAGGTTGTTCTCTGAGGTTTTGACTGTTTGTTGGGAAAACAAGTGAGCTGAGGGCACCTCCTTGGGCTCTTTCACTATTTTCTGACATTTTATAGGCTAAAGAAATAATCAGAAGAATAAAATTACAGATTAAAGTTGCCAAATTAGCTGCTAAATAAATTTACTTCCATAAAGCTGTTTAATGTGTAAGAGTAAAGAATGATCATAATTGATGCAGCAGAGGTCAAGATGTCCTATCTTTCAGGCTCTAGTATCCCAAAACACTGGATCCTTCACTTAGATCCTACACCACACTGCAACTTAAAACATACCTAATTAGAAACTCCTTTTAAAGTCTTTTAAACTCCATGCCGCTAAGTTTCCTGATCAAAATATCTCAAGCCCAAATTCAAGATAACCCTGATGACATCATTATGACATCATCGGGGTTATTTTCTTAGACTTGACGAAACTGCAAGCCTTGTAGTCAGGGGCATGTTAATACTTTCACCCAGACATGGACCTAGTAATCACTTTGTACTGGCAGACGCATGCTAATGACTGAGGATTGGATCACCACTAAAGTGCCAGCGGGATCACAAGAGCAATCTCCTTCTTGCCTGAGGACGATGTCCAGTTCCCACAAGAACTGCTCCTTTTGGCTTGAAATGGTAGAAAAATGTCGTTTACTTTAAACAAAAAGGTAATTAGATTTAAGAGCATTAAAATGAAATTACCCAAATGCATGCTGATCTGGCTGTCTCTTCCAAGGTTAGCAATCACTAATCTGTCTCAGGCTCAGTCAGCCAGGTCAGTCATGTACCATTCATATTATTTCATCAGTTAAGGTTATTTATGATTATTAGATGATGTAATTTACTTTTTTATAAGATAAATGTGATCCAATGGTTCAAAGGCACCCTTGTTCTGCATTACATATTTCCAGAGCTTTCAATTTCAATAACAACAAGTTTTCAAAGACCTGTGATACTGTCAAAGTCTTTTACTCACGTCGTTGTTTGATCAAAAGCTGCTTCAGGAATCTGGTGTCAGGGGTCAAAGGTGAGTCTGTTCAGAGTGGCTAGACCAGAGACACAAGCTGATCCTCTCCATCCCCTCAGAGCCCTCTGCATATAGACACAACAGCATGACTCGCAGCAAAGCCAAACCACAGTCCTGCACCTTGTTCATGCCCTATGCACATGCTCCAGTCCAACCAGCTGATCCTGTATCAATGCCAAACACCAGGATCACACAGTGAGTGATACAAGTCCTCAAAAATTCATTAGGGAAAGTGTCAACAAATTGATTTTTGCAGCCTGGTAGAACTGTAGACATTAAGTAGTTCAATATGCACAGTGGGACAAGTCTAAGCAGTAATGTTACTGTAAATTGGAGGGTTGTGGAAAAATATGTGAAACGGAACTTAACAGAAACAGTATGGAAACACTCATTTCATATCTGAAAAATGAAAATTAAATGACAAATGAGACATCTTTAGATAACATTTAGATTTTGGATTGTGAATCTGATCTGATGTTTCTTTGTTTCCAGAAAAATGCTGCTAGTAAATTCATGTTTATGTATGGTGAATGTGTTTGCAGTAAATGAAACATTGCTGTAAATATAAAACAAAGTCATGATACTGTAATTGAAAAACAAAGCAATAAGAACTTTTTACAGTGTTTGTTAATTACACCAATGCAATGGTTCCCAGCCAGAGTGCAGGGTCCGCCAAACAAATCCCAAATTAAATCGGAGGGGTTACAAGATGATTAAGGGAAAGTAAAATACATTTAAACAAAATTGTTTCTTTGCTGACACGTTTGCTTTTGTTTTGCGAAATTCACCCCTGCAGACATAAAAAAAATCCTTCAAAATGACACAGTCTGAGATGTTATAATCACCTGTTGGTTGAAGTGGTCACAGCTCGAGTATAGGCTGAGGCTGTAACCTGTTTTAAATGGTCACAATAGACAAATAGTTCACTGTTCAGTATTTGATGTGTACTTCTGACTTTAGTTCCTTCTTAGATTTAGATAACTTCAGTGTGTTGCTGGTTTACACACACACACACCTTAGTTCAGTTCAACACAAAACTAGGCCATTATAAGCACTGTTTATACAGTTAGCCATTCATCATGGCTGAATTGACAATGGTGCTTTCAGAGCTCCAATGCTAAAAGCTACTAAGTGACTGGCTCACTTCAGATTGTGCATTTGGTGTTAAAGATTAAATTAAATTTTTTGTAAACTAATCTTAACAAGTCCTCATAGCGGACCCTCGTGGACAAGCGCAGAAGCAGAACATGAATTTGGCTTTACCAGACAAGTGGGCAATATGAAAGCTTTAATAAATTGAGTGCAATTTATTTAGTCACGCTGGAATAACACGGCAGATGAACTCAACTCCATTAATGTTTTGGAAAAAGCAACTCCATTATTCACCTACATAAACTCCATGATATTGACACAATTACCCGACGACCCAGCCGCTCGTCATTATTGAGAGAGTGCGACAGGCTTGTGAAAAGTACTTCAGTGCATAAAAACCAAAGTGGTTTGTAAAAGTGCAGATTTCCTTGTCAGCAACTGCCAATAGCAAACAGCAGCAAGCTGCTCGCTTACCAAGAGTGAGCGTCGCACCGTCTCTAGGACCAGCTTGACCTACATATCAGAAACAAAAACACAACCAACAACATATGCGGATAGGAACGTCCAACGCCAATCATATGCCACAGCTGGACCACCACTGGATAAAATATTAACTGTGATGGATGGAAAGTAATCCTTCCTCTCTACCACCCAGCAAGATGACCTCTTAAGGGTTCATATTGTCTCATCACTCACATTCATATGCATGTATACAACGTGGAGGCATACACACACACACACACACACACAGGCCATCTTTAGCCTGTCAGTGTGGGAGGGTGTGTGTGTGTGTGTGTGTGTGTGTGTGTGTGTGTGTGTGTGTGTGTGTGTGTGTGTGTGTGTTAGTCTTGGACAGTCATTCATCTCTGATATAAGCTGAACACAGGAAATTCCTCGAATGTGAAATATGCCTCAGAGAGGCCCGTTTAAAACAGACGTGATTTTAAGGAGGAAGAAACAGACAGGAAGTGGAGGGACTGTGTGTGCATGTGTTTGTTTTACAGCAGGAGAAGGGGGAGGGGGTGATGCTATGACTGTGGGGGAATTCAAGGGTGAGAAGGCAGTCAACTGTTTTTATGAACTTAAATAAATTTGTGCCTGTCTGAGGGCGTGTGCCTGCTTTAGTGAATGGCGTATATATCAATTGTCTGCCAGGGTGTGTGTGTGTGTTCGCGTGTGCCTAGTTTTACACTAACCACAGGGTGTAGCCGTGGGCTTTGAAGTCATCCCTACACCCTGGGCTGAACTCAAACACAGGCTACCGTACAAGATCCCATATTACTCCATGGAAAAATCACAACATGCTTTTTACTCACAGGGAACACAGCCCTCTCTATTCCCCTTGTAAGACTTCACGGCATAGTAAAAGGAGAAAGACAGCACAGAAGGGCTGCAGATAACAATTATTTACATTTCTCTATGAATTCTTTAGTGCACAAAATGTCAAAATTGTCTGACCAAACTAAAAGGTATTTAATTCGCATTATCTATAGCACAGAATTTCTTTTTGCCTTTTTTCTATTATTTCCAAGCAGATTCATGGCCATTTATTCAGAGAGATAATGATATTGTCAGAAAGTGTAAGTCACACTGAAACTAACAATTGCGTATATCATGGTTTTAGATAAGTCTGAGTTATAACTAATTTATAACGCAAATTGCAGCAATCGGGCGCTAATAGCTTACCTTAATTGCCTCCAGCTACTCACCGTGTTGACAAATTGGCCAAACTAATTAAATTAAGTAACTAACTTTGGATAGTTGGAACTAGCATGCACATGTCCCTCTCTCCTCATGCAGCTTCTCCAATGTCAGCTTTGGCCTCAGGTGGTCATTCTCTAATTTAGAAGTTGGCTTGCTCTTCTCTTGGATTGTATGATCCTTTCCTGTACCTGCAGGGTGTCTGAATGCAGCAAAGCAAACTAATAATTCATCAAGAAGAAGAGAGGCTCCAAAAGGTCAGAGATGATGGACTCAATGCCTACACAGAGTATACAAGAACAGCTAGTCAAAAAAAAATTAAAATAGATGGATGAAAAGTGCTAAAACTGTAACACATAAATCTCATTTCCACCTTCCCTTGGTGTTTGATATTTGCCTTTAGTGTCTCTCTAATAATATCATTTTAAAGTGGATCATTGAAAGGGCAGATTACCAGAAAGGAAAGGTAAACGGCAGCAATTTGTAGCAGGGATGTCCCCGTTTCTCAGCCATTTCCTGTTGATAAGAGTTCTGAGCTTTGCCGTCCAAGTGCCATTTGCTCTAAATTAGCACCTACACAGGGAGCTCCAAGATCTGGGCACCAGTGGTCAGACGCTGGGGTTTAGAGTCGGGAAGCTCCAGCAGCCGAGGATCAGCTTAATGAAAACTAGCAGACTGAAGGTGGATTTTAGATGCTGGAAGAGGAAGTGAGCTCTTGACCGTTTTAATTTTTTAAATTGCAAATATGCAAATGAAAATAAGGAGCAGCAGAGAACTGAGGTGGAGAGGAAGAACCCCTCTTACTGCTGTTCATGCACTTAAAACCATTTCAGACATTCAGTCTATTTGAGGTAGATTACATTTTTTCACCATTTGAAATGAGTTCATTTGAATTAAAAGAGTCTCAAATTGATAAGGGAATTGTTCTGTGGATTGTGGCTTTACTTTAAGTGAAATGGTCAGGGACTTAAGCCTACAGAAGGTCTAAAGTTTCAACCTGACTTCATATCCCTAGGAATTCACATAGGACAATTCTGCAGCGCACAGGTTTGGTGAGATGCCAACATTCAGGACACGGCGTGCCCTTTAACACATTCACGGCCAAACTAACTGTTTGTAATCAAGTGAGACAGAGAGAGGGAATGGGAGAAAGGAGGAGAAAAAGACAGGGATGGAGAGAGACGGAGAGACCTCCTGCCAAAAAAAGTTAGATTTAAAGTTGATATAAAGAGTTAATGGGAGTCCCGCCGTACATACCCTCGATTTATAGTCCTGCGTCAGATTTCACCCACTGATACACCCCCGCAAATCTGGACGGATATATGTACACAATCTAACTATAACCAAGTGTTTTAAAAATACTAAATCACTTCTAGCACAAGAGGCACAGCTCTGGCTTTATGCAAGGAGGAATGGTTCTGTTCCTTCAAGACAAATTAAAAAAAAGCAGAATTATTAATAACTATACTCAAAATCAATACAATTTCAACGATTCACAGTTCTTGGAAACACCAGCAGAGATGACAATGGACTGTTAACGGGGCTTTTAGTTATATAAATGATGTTTCAGTCCAGATGTTGGATTGTTTCTCCAGAGAAAAGTGTGAGAAGCAGCAGATAAGCCCAGTTGAGTTGCCGTGGTTTGCAGGCATGGAGGAGAGAGGACACACGTGTCACTGAGACTTAGTGTGGAGCGGACGTTTCTGGAAGTCATCAGAGACGGGCGGGGAGGGGGGGGAGCAGCTGCACAGGACTTTTACTGCAGTGAGGGAGGATGTCCCGACTCGCATGCAAGCACACACTCAGCGATAGCCGAGCATGAACACAAGGCACATACATTCAAATAGAGTAAATGAAAACACACATATACAAAATACCACTTGGCGACAAGCACAACACGCAACAAGATGTCAGCAAAGACCCACATCCTGGGCAGGCAGGTCACTGGCCCGGCGTGCAAACACTCAGCCTGATGTTGCCAAGTGTAAACACCAATAATGACAAACAAACGCAGGAAAACACATCCCAGAGTTGAAGTCAACAGCTGTCAAGTCTTATGGGGCAACTCTGTCATTCAGGCAAGGCATGGGAAACCGCACTGTCAGTAAAGCATCCAAAACAAGCAGAGCTGGCACTTGTTTTTCCCTCCAAGCCTCCAACCCCCCCCCCCCCAAAAAAATGAATGAGTCACGGCAGGAGGCTCGGGAATAGAGATGATGTTGATTTCTGGCTGCTCCGAGAGGGGAAAAACTGCAAGCAACACCCTGATAAATGAATAACAATGTGTTATGATTGTAACTGAAAACAAATCTTCAACTGCTGCT